AAAGGAGAGACCTCTGATGTAAAGGGGATTCCTCCTCTCCTTTATATCAGAGGTCTCTCCATTACAACAGAGGTCTCTCCTTTACATCAGAGACTTCATTTTTTTAATATCAGGAGTCTCCCCTTTACATCATCGAGATCTCCAATTTTTACAACTGAGGTCTCCCTCCCTTTAAAGGATCAGAAATGGTCTCTCCTTTACAGCAGAGGTCTCCCCTTTTCATCAGAGGCTTCTTTTTTTTCATCAGAAGTCTCCCATTTCATAACCCTTATCAACACCCTCTCCACCTGTCCTCGCCGGCTCTTCTCCACTTTCAAATCCCTGCTCTCTCCCCCCCCACCTCCATCCAGCACCTCACTCACCGCCCACGAGATTGTCAATCACTTCCAAAACAAGATTGACGCAATCCGTAAGGACATTGTCAACTCAGAATCCACCTCTCCACCCAGCCTCCCGCCCTCCTCCAACCCCTCAACCCTCCCCTCCCCTGACCTTATAGCCGCACTACCCCCCACTATACCTAATGCCCGCACACCATCACCTTCCCTACACTCCGCTCCTTCAGCCCAACTACCCTTGAGGAGGTCTCTAAGGTCTTCACTGAAGCCCGCCTCACCACCTGCCCTCTGGACCCTATCCCCTCACAGCTCCTCCAGTCACCCCCCCCCCTCCCATCATTTGCTCCCTCACCCACAGCTTCAATCTCTCCCTCTCCACCGGCACCTTCCCCTCCCCTCTAAAGCACGCACACATCACCCCCATACTCAAAAAACCCTCCCTCGACCCCACTAACCTTAACAACCTTAGACCCATCTCCCTGCTGCCTTTTCACCTCCAAGCTCCTTGAGCGCCTGGCCTACAATCGCCTAAGCGCCCACCTCACTGATAACAACCTCCTTGACCCCCTACAGTCTGGCTTCCATCCCCTGCACTCCACCGAAACCGCCCTACTTAAAATCACCAACGACCTGCTAACCGCCAAAGCCAATGGCCACTATTCTATCCTCCTGCTCCTCGACCTCTCCACGGCCTTCGACACTGTTGACCACCCTCTCCTCCTTGCCAAACTGCACTCTCTTGGCATCAGGGACACTGCTCTCTCCTGGTTCTCCTCCTACCTTTCCCAAAGCTCCTTCAGCGTCACCTACAACACTACCACCTCCCCCTCCCTCCCCCTCTCTGTCGGGGTCCCCAAGGCTCTGTCCCTCGGGCCCCTCCTCTTCTCCATCTATACCTCCTCCCTTGGCAAACTTATTCACTCCCATGGCTTCAATTACCACCTCTATGCCGACGACACCCAAATCTACCTCTCCACCCCCCACCTCACCACCTCACTCTCTGCCCGCATCACCCACCTCCTAAACGACATATCAGACTGGATGTCGCTCCATTTCCTCAAACTTAACCTATCCAAAACCGAGCTCCTGGTCTTCCCCCCAGCCCGCGCCCCCCCCCCATCCTCTCCATCACTACTAACAACGCCACCATCTCTCCCACCCCACACGCCAAATTCCTGGGTGTCGCCCTGGACTCCCACCTGTCCTTCCTACCCCACATCCAACTGCTATCTAGATCTTGCAGGCTCCACCTTCGCAACATCTCCAAGATACGCACATTCCTCACCCTAGACACCTCCAAACAACTCGTACACTCCCTCATCATTTCTCACGCCTGGACTATTGCAACTCCCTCCTCACTGGCCTACCCAAACGAACGCTATCCCCACTCCAGTCGATCCTAAACTCAGCGGCTAGACTCATCCACCTCACCAACCGCCACCGACATCTGCCTCCCCCCCCCCAATCCCTTCACTGGCTCCCGATTGCCCAACGCATCAAATTCAAACTTCTAACCCTGACCTACAAAGCCATTCACAATGCTGCCCCAAACTACCTCACTGACCTGATACCCAAATACTACCCTACCCGTGCCCTCCGCTCCTCACAGGACCTCCTACTCTCTAGCTCCCTGGTCTCCTCCTCCCACGCCTGATTTCAGGACTTCTCCAGGACTTCCCCCATCCTCTGGAACTCCCTACCCCAATCCATCAGACTGTCACCCACCCTCCTCACCTTCAGGCGCACCCTGAAAACCCTCCTCTTCAGGGAAGCCTACCCCAACCTTACCTAACACCTGACCTCACCTAACAACTAACCTCCTCCAGTCCTCCCACCACTCCATCCCCCACAGCCATCTCCTCCTGTATCACCTTCCCCTCCCTCCTAGATTGTAAGCTTGAAAGAGCAGGGCCCTCGAACCCCTCGTGTATTGTATTGTTACTGTCTTGTCTCATGTTATGTCCCCCTTGCTACTGTACAGCGCTGAGCATACCCTTTGGTGCTATATAAATACTGTATAATAATAATAATTTACATCAGAGGTCTCTCCTTTACATCAGAGGCTTCTCCTTTACATCAGAGGTCTCCCATTTACACCAGAGGCTTCTTTGCATTAGAGGTCTCTCCTTTACAGAGACTTTTTTTTTTCATCAGGAGTCTCCCCTTTACATCAGAGGTCTCTCCTTTACATCAGAGGCTTCTCCTTTACATCAGAGGTCTCCCCTTTACATCAGAGGCTTCTTTGCATTAGAGGTCTCTCCTTTAGACTTTTTTTTTTCATCAGGAGTCTCCCCTTTACATCAGAGGTCTCCCCTTTACATCAGAGGCTTCTTCTTTACATTAGAGGTCTCTCCTTTACATCAGAAATCACCAATTTTTACAACCGAGGTCTCCCCTTTACATCAGAAGTCTTTACATTTGAGGTCTTTTACATCAGAGGTCTTTCTTACAACAGAGGTCTCCCCTTTACATCAGAGGCTTCTTCTCTACATTAGAGGCCTCCTTTATCATCAGAGGCTTCTTCTTTACATTACAATCAGAGGTCTTTCCGTGAGGTCTCCCCTTTACATCGGAGGCTTCACTTTTTCATCAGAAGTCTTCCCTTTACATCAGAGGTCTCTCCATTACAATAGAGGTCTCCCCTTTACAACAGAGGTTTTCCCTATACAGTAGAGTCCCCCCCTTTACATCAGCTTTCCCCATTACGTCAGAGGTCCATTCTATACATGAGAGCTCCCCTTTAACATAAGAGTTGCTACTTTCACATTACAGCTTCCTCATGACCACAGACCCCCCCCATGACAGCCAATCACAGTGGTCACATGATAAAGAAATCCTTCCCATCTCCTGGGCTTATAGACCCATTTGAAGGGATGCCGGGGCTGGGTGAGAAGTGGTTAACACAAAGCATGTCAACTTGTTCTAACAACAGGCACTGCAATGCAGCACAGCCATGTGAAAGGGCCCTTAATGGGCTCTCAATGTAAAACCTAGGAGCCAAGCCACCAGTTATTTCTAATATCTAGCATGATTAATAAATATACATTTTCAGGAAATAAATCTGATACAGCTGGGGAGAGGAGGCAATATTGCGGATGACACAAATACGAATGTATTAGCTTATCTGCACATTGAATTGCTCGGGACGTTGTATGGAGGTAGCAGAATACATTCGGTAAGATTTCATTTCACAACACAGATGTACGTCCTTGCATTATTCATACAATAAAGCACAATTGTGCTTGTTTTTTTTTTTTTTTTTTTTTTTTTTTTCCGGAAGCAGGTAATATATTTACATGTTTTTTTCATAACATTTTCTGCTGCTGCAATTTGCTATCAATATTACGCTTGGCGTGTGATTGGGAAGGCGAGCGCTCATGGCACGATATTCGAGGACATACCATGTTCACTAAATTGCTGAAAACATTTCAGCTGCACCGTCCTTCCATCTACATAGACTACGCCGAGAGTAAATTACCACTTAGAGTACATAAAATGACTCCAGTCGTGTTTGATGGTGATCCGGGTGCTAGGAAACATGCAAAATTCTGAATTATACATGTAAGGTAAAGAGCTATTTGCTGCATCTGCAGTCAAAAATGTTTCAATGTGGCTTAAAGCAGAACTTAACTACCAAAAGGGAGTTAGTTCTTTTAACCTCCCTGGCGGTCTGATTATTTCTGATTTTTTGTGCTGAAAGCGGTACCATTTTTTTGCATGGAAATATGTAGTTTTTTATTGTAGGCTGTAATTTTTAAGAATAACTCCCTGAAATCTGTCCGAACAAGAGTCTAGTAAACATCCCGGGGATGATAAAATTTGAAACACGAAATCATAAATTATAATTTAATAAATAATCATAAAAAATAATAATATAATAATAAATTTAATTCAATAATATAATAAAACCAAAAACACTGAAATTTGAAATACAGAGGCAAATTCACACATCGCTGAGCAAAGTCGCAAAATCGTTTTCAGTGTCTGATGACGAATTTCCCCCACGAATCATTATCACTCAATTCTGCAAGTGGTTCTGATTTACTATCGCTGTTCTCTAGCCGGTCTAAAACCGCTTTTGATGTAAAGGGACCTTTTTGGACGCCATGGACGTTTCTCAGTTTCCAGGCAGAAAGAACATTCAAAATGCAGGCAGGCGCCGCGGACAAAGCACTCGGGACAAAATATATGTGAAATTCATTGAAACAGCAATGACAGCAAAAATGACATTTTTAAAAAAATTTCAAATTTCCCGCTGGTTCTGGCGCCCGTACGTCCTGACGTCACAGGGACCGGAACACGGAAGCCGCATGCCGGCATCGGCCGGAGGAGATGGCCGGGGGACGCTGTAGGGGACACATCGGGGGAGCGAAGGACAAGGTAAACTCTGCAGGGACCCCCTGAGCAACGCCGCATGGTAAGCCCGAGTGTAGCTCAGGGTTACCGCTTTTGGTATAGAAATTTTACCCCGAGCTACACTCGGGATTACCGATAAGGAAGTTAAAGACTTCCCTTCCCAGGCAGAATTGTGGTGGCGCAGATTCGCCATGTCATCGATAGTTGGCTGCCTGCACCTGGAAGAGTTGAGGAAAGTGGAAAAATAATGCCAGACCCTAGGCCAAAATGACAGACTGACATGTGACTGGTTCTGCAACATCCTAGGTCACTTACACCCAGGGGCGGACTGACAACTCATGGGCCCCCGGGCAATAGGGGACCATGGGGCCCCTGTGTCCCTTGCCCAAACTCAAAAAAGCCTATGAAAAAGGTACCAGGGGCATCTCATGGAGCCCCCTACTGGCCCCGGGCCCCCTCGGGCAGTGCCCGAGTTTCCAAATGGCCAGTGCGCCCCTGCTTACACCACATCTCCCAGCAGGCTACAGGATCAGGCACACAAAGCAGCCGCCATGCAGGCCAAAGGGAGGGTCTGGAGCATTATCAGTAGCTGACTGCCTCCATTCAGAAGAGTTGAGGAAAGTGGAAAAATATGACTGGACCCGTAAGGTTAACTTATTGGTATTGCGATCTTAAAATATTGATGTTGATGTAAATAATCTGGTTCCTGGACTAGTGGCTTCCACACCCTAGAGAATCTCCATGGTCCGTAGTATAGTGTATAAGGGGCATATAAGGGGAATGTAAAGAACCATTCGCATATAAAGCCATTCACAACTCTGCCCAGAGCTACACTACCAATCTTGTCTCAAAATAACACCCAAACCGTCCTCATCCGCTCCACCCAAGACCTCCTACTTTCTAGCTCCCTTGTCTCTCCCTGCATTGCTCATCTCCAGGACTTCGCCAGAGCCTCTTCTATCCTTTGGAACTCTCTAACTCAACCTGTCTGACTATCTCCTATGCTGGCCACCTTTAGGCAACTCATGAAAACTCATCTTTTCAGGAAAGCCTATCCCACCTCCACCTAACAACTCAACTTTAATAGACATGTGCGTTTCATTTAATTCAGATGATGTCAGGAATGGACTCGCCAATAGTGGTGGGACTCACCTGCCTTGTGGGTTGCAGTACCAGGGCTGGCCAGCGGGTGCTCTCAGCAACCAGAGGCTCATTCCTGCAATCAGCCAAAACACCTGAGGCTGATTGCAGGAGGTGCATATAAAGAATGACCAGGCCTGTGATCTGGGCCTTGGTGTATGTTTCCCATGAGCCCCTGTACCTGGTATCCTGTGTTCCTGCCTTGTTGCTGACCCTGCTTTGATCCTGACCTCTGCTGACCATCTTCTGTTGAACCCCTGGCTTGCTTGACCATCCTTCTGCCTGATCCTCGGTACCCCAAGCTGCCGCGCTGCCCGCTACCTGCTGAACCTGGCTTGTGACCCCGACCATTCTGTGCTTGCTCCTCCTGTACCACGCTGCCCTCACGATACCAACCCGGCCTGTCTGACTACGTTTACTTCACCCGACGATCCATCCATCCCGCACGGATCACCTTTGGTAAGTCTGCCTGCCTCTTCCCATCAGACTCCGTTCCTGCACTCCCCTGCCAGTACTCTCTACCACAGCCGGACGCACTCAGGGGTCGCGACCTGGTTCCAGTCTGCACCAAGTCCATCCCCACCCTCAGGGGCCTGGTGAATAGCAGGCTGGGACTTAGACCCCGCGCCCTGAGGAAATCCGTGCTGTGGGCTGCTAGAGACACTGCGAGGTGGCACCTGACAGTACCTTACGGCCTGCCTGACCATTCCACCTCTCCAGCCTGACTACGCCTGTGTTCCTGAAGCCTGCTACTTCCCTGTGTCAGTCCACACATTTCTGGTCATACCCGCCCCGGATCCCTAACAGATGATGTCACATGATGAGATAGTAGTTCTGGCCCATGGTGATATTAATCCAATTTTCTAATTTGATAATTTTGAATTTGGATCCAAATTTCATTCCATTCCTTAATTCGGGTGCACATGACACCAGTTGATATTGTCCAATCAGCTCATGCCATTTGTCTTGGTGGGTTGGACTAGCATCTGAAATCCGTCTGAATTTAATCCGTCCGATTCCATAATATAATCAAATATATATAGAAATCTTCCAAAAAAACTGCTAATTTTTTTTAATCCACTCGAAAAAAAAAAAACGATTATATGACATGAATGCCGAAGATACGATTCCGAAAATGAATCGGTTCAACATAACGAATGTGATGAAACAAAATTCTTCAAAGAACTAATGCATCTGAGACGAAGCAAAAATTTCCAATATGCACGTCTAAATGTTAATTCTTCCATTTGCTCTTCCCCAACAGTTATTACCTTTTGTACCACTTGTCCCACCCTATCAGAGTGTAGGCTTGTAACTGTAGTGTCTCCCTTTATATTGTAAAGAGCAATTTGTTGGTGCTATAACAATTGTGTATAATATAATTAATAGTGATTTTCCTAATGACCACCAATGGACTAATCTTAGCAGGGGTCTCCTGAGACCTGAGCATTATTTCAAGTGGCCTTAGGTTGACTAAGGCTGTGCTAGAGCATTCTTTCCACGTTAAGGCATAAGAAATCCAGGGTTCCTGATGGAGTTACATTTTGTGTCATGACTAGTTTATGTCCTTTTAGTGATACTAACCCCCACCCCACACACACAATTTTTTTTTACCTCTAGTGCTGCATTCTCTTCAAAACATATACTCAACCTTACAGCGAATCCAGCATTGTCCCACAGCAAACTTCCCTTTGGGTGACTCTTTACATTACATTACATTACATTGAGTTTATATAGCGCCAAAGGGTTTGCTCAGCGCTGTACAATAGAGGGGGGGGACAATACATGAAACATTACAGCAGCTACGAACAGCACACGAGGGGTAAGAGGGCCCTACTCTTTCGAGCTTACAATCTGGGAGGGAGGGGGTAGTGGTACAGGAGGAAGTGGCTGTGGGGGATGGAGTGGTAGGAGGAAATGAAGGAGAGCAGCAGTTAGGTGAGGGTGGGGTAGGCTTCCCTGAAGAGGTGGGTTTTCAGGGAGCGCCTGAAGGTGAGGAGGGAACCGGTGACAGTCTGATGGATTGGGGTAGTGAGTTCCAGAGGATGGGGGAGGACCTGGAGAAGTCTTGCAGACGTGCGTGTGAGGAGGAGACCAGGGAGAAAGATAGAAGGAGGTCCTGTGAAGAGCGAAGGGTACGGGTAGGGTGGTACTTGGGAATCAGGTCGGTGAGGTAGTTAGGGGCAGTGTTGTGAATGGCTTTGTAGGTCAGAGTGAGTAGTTTGAATTTGATGCGTTGGGCGATAGGGAGCCAGTGGAGGGAGAGGCAGAGGGGGGTGGCAGAGGTTGTGGAGTGGGCTGGTGAGGTGGATGAGTCTGGCAGCTGAGTTCAGGATGGTCTGAAGCGGGGAGAGTTTGCACTGGGGTAGGCCGGTGAGGAGGGAGTTGCAGTAGTCCAGGCGTGAGATAATCAGGGAGTGCACAAGTAGTTTAGTGGTGTCTGGGGTAAGGAAGGTGCGTATTTTGGCGATATTGCGGAGGTGGAGCCTGCATGTGTTTGTCAGTGATTTGACATGAGGTTGGAAGGAGAGGTTAGAGTCCAGAATGACCCCAAGGACTTTGGCTTGCGGGGCGGGATTGATGGTGGTGATGTTAGTAGTGATGGATAGGATGGGGGGGGGGGCGGGCAGGAGGGAAGACGAGAAGCTCGGTTTTGGAGAGGTTGAGTTTGAGGAAATGGAGCGACATCCAGTCAGAGATGTCGTTTAGGAGGTGAGTGATGCGGGCGGAGAAAGTGGAGATGAGGTGAGGGGTGGAGAGGTAAATTTGAGTGTCATCAGCATAGAGATGGTAGTTGAAGCCGTGGGAGTGTATGAGTTTGCCAAGGGAGGAGGTGTAGATGGAGAAGAGAAGGGGTCCAAGGACAGAGCCCTGGGGGACCCCAACAGAGAGGGGGAGGGAAGGGGAGGTGGCACCATTGTAGGAAACGCTGAAGGAGCGTCGGGATAGGTAAGAGGAGAACCAGGAGAGAGCGGTGTCTCTGACGCCAAGGGAGAATAGTTTATTAAGGAGGAGGGGGTGGTCAACTGTGTCGAAGGCCGCGGAGAGGTCCAGGAGGAGAGAGGACAGAGTAGTCGCCTTTGGCTTTGGCGGTAAGTAGGTCGTTGGTGATTTTGAGGAGGGCGGTTTCGGTGGAGTGTAGGGGACGGAAGCCGGACTGTAGTGGATCAAGGAGGTTGTTGTCAGTTAGGTGAGCGCTTAGGCGGTTGTAGACTAAGCGCTCCAGGAGTTTGGAAGTGAGTGGCAGCAGGGAGATGGGTCTGAGGTTGTTTGGGTCAGAGGGGTCCAGGGAGGGCTTTTTGAGTATGGGGGTGATGTGCGCATGCTTTAGGGGGGAGGGGAATACGCCGGTAGAGAGGGAGAGATTGAAGATGTGGGTGAGGGAGCAGATGAGGGAAGAGGGGGGTGACTGGAGGAGTCGAGAGGGGATAGGGTCTAGGGGGCAGGTAGTGAGGCGGGCTTCAGAGAAGACCCTGGTGACTTCCTCAGTGGTAGCGGGGCTGAAGGAGTGCAGAGCTGGTGGGGTTACGGTAAGCGGGGTCTTGGGTGTGGAGGGGGGCAGTGCGGTTGCGAGGTCAGAGGAGGGAAGAGATGAGGGGGAGATAGGGGGGGGGAGGCTAGGTGGGGAGGTAGATTGCGAGTTGACTATGTCCTGACGGATAGCATCAATTTTATTGTGGAAATGAGTGGCAATCTCGTGGGCGGTGAGTGAGGTACTGAGTGGAGGAGGGGGGGGAGAGAGCAGGGAGTTGAAGGTGGAGAAGAGTCGGCGAGGGCAGGAGGAGAGGGTGTTAATCAGGTTTACGAAGTAAGCCTGCTTGGCGGCGTGGAGGGAGGAGGTGTAAGTGAGGAAGGCAGATTTGTAGAGGGAGAATGAACGGGGGGACCTGGTTTTGCGCCATAGTCTCTCCAGCGCACGACTGCGACGTTTGAGGCATTTTAGTGTGGTCGTTCTGCCATGGTTGGAGCGGTCTGGGTTTGATGTAGCGTGTGGTTAGGGGTGCCAGAGAGTCTAGGGTAGCTGATAGTGAGTAGTTGTACGTGTTAGTGGCTAGGTCAGGACAAGACAGTGGAAGGATTCTGTCGTGTAGGTGGTCGGCAGCTGAGTGGAGGGGGGCCGGGTTCAGGTTGCGAAGGTTGCGGCTGGTGATGGTTTGGCGCTCTGGGGGGGGGGAGTTAGGGGAAGTTAGGGGAGATGGAGAGAACGTGAGGAGGTG